CTCTTACCATATATTTGTACTATCATTTGCACTCTCTTTCTAATAAAGATGAGACCCACATGGTTGGTAGATCTATTAGAGGGACTAGGATTCTCTCCCCTCCTCTTTCCATCATTTTCCATCCCCTCCTCTCACATTCTTTTATTTTGTCTTTCTCTTGCTATAAAAAATTAATATAAGATGTTGACGTGGTTTAACCATGACTATTCAAATAGGAGGAGAGGGAGGGGGAGGGAAGGGGAGGGAAAAAGGAAGGGAAAGAAGCCTAATCCCTATTAAAGAGATGGTCATTGAAATTAAGTCTCACATTAATGGAAGAATGGACCTTGCATGGTATCACTAGTTTTAGGTTTCCTCTTCCTGGTAAAACCCTAGCCTCCTTCACCCTTCCTCAATTCTTTGCCGTCCCTCCTAAGGTCCAATTCCTCAAATTTTTTATTTTGTGCCGTGCCCACCTACTCCATATTCCACCATAAACAAATTGGTAATATGGAGGGTAACTCAACTTACTTATAAGCCCATGCAAGGTTCCTTCTCAATGTGGGATTCATTTTCAACAAGCCCCCTCATTTGTGGTGAATTTTCAAGTCTAACACGTGGACAACACAACGGGATGACGTGGAATTTTCAAGTCTAACACGTGGACAACACAACGGGGTGACGTGGAGCGCTTGTGGCCGTTTGGTTTCACATGTAGGACAACCTGCTCTGATACCATGAAGAAAGTTGAGGTTCCACCATAAAACTAATTGGCAATATGAGGAGTAGCCCAACTTATTTATAAGCACATGCAAGATCTCTCCTCCCATCAATGTGGGATTCATTCTCAACAATAACACAAATTATCGTACAAATATGTGGTAAGTGTAACATTACTCCTCTTAATGTAGTTTAGAGTATAAAAATAGCTTGTAATTAAAAAAAAAAACATATACAAAATTGATTCGTGAATTTCAAATATAAGCTCATTGGACAAGGCAATGCGTCAGCATGCACGCAAGTTTGAGCTCTCTCCCAGTATATTAATTATAGCATTTTCGAATATGGCATTGTTCATATATACGCATTGTTATAGAACCCCATCTTGGTTTTTCTTTCCTAATGTTGTTTGGCAAGCTGAAATTTTTGTCTATGTGACCTAATTAGAATTTATACGTAATGCTACTAATTCATTGTTTTATAACAACCCGTTAATTAACCACATTCAATAGTTCATAAATATATGAAACCGTATCATAGAATAAAATCAACATAATCAATGATGCATATAAAACTCACTAACAAGAAAACATTTTTCTTAATCCATGCACCTTTGTCAGGTTAAACAATTTTAGCCTGCAAAGGTGCAATATCGAGCCCAGATCAGATCAAATACTAGCTCAAAAACCAAATATTGTCTTTTTGCTCTGCCCAAAAATTTAAACAAATGTAATTAAAATCTGCTTCTATAGAGGAAAGTTCTTGATTTCTGCAGCATATCGCCTCTAATTACATGTGTTTGTGTACTAACAATTTCACACTCATCATGAAAGTATACAGTTTAATTCAAGTGTGTGAGACTTGTCTGTTTTCTTGAAATCAATGCCTCATTCTAAATTACCTAGCTGAACTCGAAACACCGTATCACTATCACAGTATTGTCTTGATTTAATATCATCATACCATATGAAGTGAGATTAACGTGACATTATGTTATTAGATCATAGCGCCAACCGGACGGTCTACCTGATCCAAATAAAGTTGCTCCTCACTCTCACGAAACACCAAACAAATTCTTCTTTGTTTTGTAATATTCTTGAATAGTAAGCTTTATTGACATCAAAATCACATATGACTAAAGCATGTTTGGATGCTACGTATGAAAACGAAACAATTTTTTGTCGTTTTTCACGGTCTAACATCAACTTTCTTGCTCTAGAATTAAAGTCTAGCTAGAGTCATCATTCCTTAATGTATATTATTAGCTCACTAATTGGCTTGATTTATTAAACAAATTTAAATCAAGCTCATCATTTTCCCGATTTTGTTATCCACATGCAACCCACTTATGATGGTAGATCGATCATCCAATCAGGTGATGATCTAACGGTTGGTATCTAGCCATCTTTACATGTGTAGAAATATTTTCCATTTATGGAAAAATATTCTTGGAGTAGCTAGCGGGAAACACAATGTTCCAACAAGATTTCAAGTATATGCATGTTAAAATCTGTCAGAAACAATATAATAAACAAACAATGATTGCGACCACCATGATTTAACCTTTGGATCCTATGAAACAAAACGTTTGGCTTCAATTGGCTCCAACAATCCATTCCGAGAAAGAACATTGATCACCATTTTTATAATTAATTAAGGTAGTTAAGGGTTGAATAAGATAATTAATTCGATGGGAAAGGAATTTAAACATCGAACTTTCAGCGCATTGCGAATGAATAAATACGTTTAACCGCTTCAGTTGCAATTTGCAAATATGTTGCATTTGATATTGCTTGATGTATATGTAGTTAAATAAAAAATTCTACAAAACTTCGGTATATGACATACGACAAATGAATGAATGTTGAATGTGTTCAATAAAAAAATCAACAACCTAAAATATGACAACTAAACATCTCGTACTATAAACCAGTACATACTAATAAAATATAAATCACTAATTTGAAAGTTTTATAAACTAGATTGAATAATATAATTTTTTTAAAACAAAAAAGGACTGGCCGGTGGTTTTCCACGGAAGTTCACTCTTCCAGGGGCCTGGAAGACACATAAGGAAACTCAACCTCTCTCTGATCATCATTGTGTAATTCACCAAAATTAGAAATTAAACTCATAATATACCCTGTAGAATACACATTTAAAATTCATTCCCAATTGTCGAGTCACCAAGTAGTTTGAATATTACGATTCACAAGCAAGCATTAGCACTCTTTGGGTGCAAATGCAAACATTGCGATGGGGCCGGGGAAGAAATGTGGGGCTAAATTTTGAAATGAATATCAGTCAAGTTAGTTGACCGGTCAAATGGAACGGTCAAAGAAAATGCTGAAGGGAGCAAAATTTAGAAAAAAGAAGTAAAGTGGGATAGGAAACTGTGCCTGCTGGGACAAAAATGATAGATCGTAAAAATATAGGAGGAAGAGGAGGTGGTGGAGATTGCATCTTGTGTGAAGAAAAGAATCTAGCATGCATTCTCACTAAAAGACTTTGTTGGTCGAAAGAACAATTGGCAATGAACACGTTTTGGGGTTTAGTTTTCAAATGGTGAGACTTTTAATTCGATTGGCTATGGAGAAATTTTTTAATGATGTGATACTATTTGATATTGGATTTGTTAATTAAGTTCAGCTTTTCACGATTGTGTATTTTGGTTAAGCCACGGTGATTTTAACTTTATTTATAAAGGAAAACTAATGAAAGGGGTTTGAAAACTTTGAGTTTTAACGATAAGGACAAAATAAAGGGTAAAATGAATAGTACCATGATTGATTTTTTAGTGTAAAAATGTGGTTTTTCTTTAAAATGAACAGTACCGGGAGCTTTTCGTTAAAGTTCCCTTATTTATAATTGTTTTCAAACTTTGAGATTGTTATTATCCTCTTAAAATTATGAATTTACGTGCATTATCAATTAGTCTAGCTCACTCAATTTTTATTGAACTGTTTAAACGTTTTGCTTGACATTTTGGAAAATCGTCGCCTTTGGTTTGTGTCATAACTGAACATTGATTTCTTGATTTGGCACCACATTGTTCTTAATGCAAATTATATCCAATGAAATTATGATATGCTTGACTTATCCTTCTCCAAACATTACCCGTTCGAAATTAGAGCACGCAATTTCCTCCCAAATTACGTGACTTATTCTGAAACAATTTCGATAAATGTCAAGCATTATATTTAGTTTGCACAAGTGCCATTTTGAATTGAAGTTTCAAGTTTTATAAACGCGAGGGTGATTATACTCACTAAAGCAAATGTTCTACCAAAATTCAAATTCCTTTTTGTAATATAAACTAAAATACTTTGGAATAAAGTATATATAAATAATTGAAAAAGTTTGGAAGTAACGGAATCTTTTTTGGTAAACTTGGAAGTAATGCAATGGAAGTTGGAAGTGTGAACAAAGTAGAGGCTCGTTGCTGGAAATTACCAGATGCGGGGGATAAGAGTCGACTTGGGGAAGCAAAGAAACAAGTAGGGACAGCTGTGAGTGATATGGTCGGCGTAGGTGGGTTCCACCGGATAATGTCCCGCCCCCCTTTGATTCTGACACGTGGCACCAATAATGCGGCTACGAGACGAATATTTCAGTTTACGAGGAAAGTACACCGCACAGCACTGTGACGCGCAGCAGTCCCTACGCCTCATCTGTCATGCCCTACTGGGCCGCCTTAGTGGGCTTTGCACGTAGGCCCCACACTTTTCCTCCCTTATCAAGCAAAGAATGTGCGATTCCACCCAATTGTTTTTAATTTTTGAATATCGCGTCGAATGTATTTGTTAAGAGTGTTATACAAGAAAAAAGAGATGTTTGAATAATACTGTTTAAAAATATTTTTTCACTATTTATCTGTTATTCATATTTTTTTTCTTTTATTTCTTTTATTAATTCTTATTAGGTATTCGATTTTGGTCTATTGTTGTCCTAAGCTTAGTTACATTGTCATGCGCTTTACTGTCCGAATAGCATAACGTAATTAGTTTGAGATACTGTTAATAAAATGTTCGTGTCAAACATCGGGATAAAACAAATTAACAAATTTTAACAACGGTTAAGACAGCCATATGTTTATTGAATACATATGAGTGACTAATTAATATAGAAGTTGATTATTTTGTTAGAATGTGATACTTAATAAAGAGAAGTAAAATGAATAAATTTCGATTATGAGATGTCGAAAATAACAAATGTATTTATCCTTTCTGTTTTGTGATGGACCTAATGGTTAGGAGTGCAACTTGGGTTGGGTTGGGTTGGGCCAGTCTGAACCCACTCATGTCCAATCTGACTTTAAACTCGAACAAATGGGTTTAGTTAGTTATAACCCGTCCGAACCCAACCCAATTTCTACTCGTTCATTGATTTCATTGAGTTTGGTTGATCATTTGCATGTCCATCCCCAACCCAATCCAACCCAAACCCAATCTAACCAAATTGTAACCCATATCAATTAATGCTCATACTACACCCAAGTGAGCCAAGTTCAAAAACCAACGCCCTTTCTAATATATTTTTTGATAAATTACCCTTTATAATTACTTAAGCTATTAGGGACCAAGAGACTTTGATTAGTCAATTCATATTCGTAGTCTCTAAATCCTAAAGCTTTATAGTATATTGATTTATGAAATTAAAGTTAGCCAGCTTTGATGCTCTACTTGGCTTAATTTTTTTTGCAATTCTTGGAAACTAAGTTGTTATAAGATTAAACTTGAAAAAGTTGGGCAATCCGAACCCAACTCAAGTAAACCTTAACCCAATTAAACCCGAGCCCAAATGAACCTGAATGAAATCCAACCCGAACCCAAGCTCAAATTGTAAAAGTTGGATTAGGATTGGGTAAATCTTCAAACCTGTCCAAGTTGCACCCCTTCTGAAGGTAGAGAAGAGGTTTTAGTTGGTTATTTGGCACGTGGGAATAACGGTGGGAGGTCACGCGGGTCACGAGAACAGAACGGGTAGAAGTCATCATGGCCTGAATGGAGCTGAGAATCTGAGATCATGAGAGAGAGGATTCGGTAACGGATTGGGGTTTTGTCGGACTCGAAGAAACGGATCGGTTTTGGAATATGTTACGGACAAGAGTCCAAATTTGATTTAACTTACGAGGTTTTGATAACGTATAATTCAAGACTGCATTTCATGATCTTAGCTTAAACTTGATGCATGTATGTACATCATGCAGGTTGATACAGCCAAATTCATCCCATCCCTCAGTAAAAAATGACAACATTAAACTGCATAAATTATAAATGTGATGCATGTAACGTATAATTTTACTTATACGGTAAATAAAATTTGAATAATACGTACGTTAGTAAGTTCGTTGTTACTCGTTAATGTCAACTCAGATTGAACTTTCCATTTAATTTTCCTCAAATTTAAACTAACTAGAGTAATTGACGTGATTTGATAAGAAAATGCTCAAAGTTTACAGCTGAGAATCCCATTTTTTTTTCCGTCTACTCCAAGTCTCTCAAATTCTTTCTTATTATTTTCCCTTTCATTTTTTAAGTATTAAAATTGTCCCATCAAGTTTTAAAGAAAATTTCACGTGATTAAATATAGGTCTTTAGACGACTTCATAAAGAAGGTGAAGACTACAACATATATAAGCATGTCAATAAAAAGTAATCTAAATTAAAGTCAAGTGCACAACATATATAAGGTAGTTTTATCCATACATTTATTTTGACTTCTCATATATTCTATACAAAAATTTAACAAAAGTGTGGCAGAGATAAAAATGAGTGTGTGAATAACACTAACTCACATATATTTTCTCATTTTGTTGAATTAAGTAAATAAATTTTCTTATGCGTTTTTCCAAACGCATAAAATTTTTTATTTATTTAATTCAGAACGTGAAAGCATGGATAAATAGATGATCTCATATAGGATAGACTTCACGAATATTGGGTTGAGGGAAATAAAATCATCAACCTTCTTCCTTGCGGGGAAGCTGCAACTCCTCTACCTCCTTCATGGATGCAGTGCACCAGAATTTTGATTGTACCACGGTCCATCCATAACTATGTCATTTTGATTGCAACTCCTCTACCTCCTCCAAGGATCTTCATAGGCGTTTTTCTGGCATCCGGGTGGTCCTAGGACCACCTTGGTCCGTATATGAATCCGCCACTGCACACCAGTTTTGTTGAAACTTGTCACAGAATGTGCACTTTCCACAAATTAATATATACACTGCTAAATAAACAGTCAAAAGGCATAAAAGAAATACAAGGGAGGATGAATTGTATCATTCTTCATTTTTCATGATGCTATCAGTTTCTATATTTTTTTTTGTAGGTAAAATGAAAATTCCGGATTTAAAAGTATTTTTGTATGAGGCATTGGAGGTAACTAATTATTAAGCATTTAACGATGAGCAAAAACCGGTTGTAGTTGGCTACATTCATTTGTTATGTGTTTTATCGTTCTAAACTGAAATCTTGCTAATAATCACACCATAATTCACAACCATACTCAGACATAATAAAATAAAAAAGCATTGACATTTGCAGACCATGGATATTGTTGTTAAGAAAAATCTTGCATACTAATAATAAAGTCATTCTAATAACACTACTAGATGTCTTGATGGACTCTTGGTAAGTGGGATATGCACTTATTCTAGTAATCGTGGAACCTCAATTTTGGTTGAGAGACCGCGACCCTCTCTAAAATGATAGATTGCCCCGCTATTCGATATAATTTTTGTTCTGGCTAGTGAGGCTCTTGGTGGTGTTAAAGTTATTGTGAGTATCACAGACCATTAATTCTTGACTAACTTATTATTCAATTGACTTTATATTACATATGCGTAGCCGTATTTGTTGATGTAGGGATAAAGTACTTGGTTAGCCTTGCATAAGTCCTATTGTAATTTTTCATTTGATGTTCTTCTACTTTTGGAGGTGGCCTTTCTTGATGTAATTGCTTTTGCATAAATGAATTATTATTGACCCAAAAACAGGTTACAGATAAGGTACTCACATGAAAATAAAAGAGTATTATAGGATGTGGCATGAATTCGATTTTAGCAAAGTTTTACCTAAATTATCAAAAAATTATTTTATGAGCTCTCTAAAATATTGCACTTCAGCCATGCTTCCTACTTCTTACTTTAGAGAGTTATAATGATTATGAGTCAATATTTAGCCAATAAGAATTAATTATCTAAACTACATATGCTAGTTAATTAAAACTCTAGCAAATTACCATTTTAACCTTGTCACCAGAACTGAACAAAAATTTAAAATGTGGACAATTTAGTATTCACACAAATTTTACTGTTTTTTATACTAACATCCCAGCCACGTATATAGCATGACACACTCCGATCCGGAATGTCCACGTAGACACCCAAATCGTGATGTGTTGGCCGACACCTAGAAGGTGACGAAGCCATAAAGTGTAGTGATGTGGAAAATGTGAATAAATTAAAACCTAAAAGTGACTAATTAGAGTGAAAATGTGAGCGAGATTGAACCCATATAACACAAGTGATGTCATAGCATAGATAAAATGCAGCAAAAGAAGAGTAAAGACATTTATATCGAAATGAGGGATTCTCCTACATGTTTGCCATTAAAAGTCATCGACAACATGAGCTCTGCCACTAAAACCTGAAGGGGTGAAAAACAAAGGTGAGTGGGTTTGAAAAATAAAGTATTGTAAACCATTTTAAAAAATGCGTAACCCCTCGCTGTAAAACAAATATAAAGTTTTCCGAAAATATCATAATACTAGTATGTAATATGATACCTTGCAGCAGAAGTGAGTTAAAAGATGTTGGGTACAACAACAAGGTATCTCAACATTAAATCTCAAATCATTATTATAAGAAATCAACGCTCATTAATTTATGTAGGCACACAAGTCCATTGCAGAGATATTCAGACAATGGAACAGGCTGGGTGTAGGTTTTACATTATAGTACTACATCACGTGAGCTGCGCTAGTCGCATCACATATGAGTTCAACACATCACACAAAAGGACATGCTGACACCTAACTCTGGATCCAAAGCGAATGTAAACGGTGCATGTGAACTACATGTGAAGCTAGTCCTTGGCCTAGGACAGTACAAATAACTAAGAGACACCGTGCAAATATGTAATGATGAGCAGATAAAACGTAAGGATGTCATGCCACAAGTTTATGCTCACAAATAATATTAAAAACATAAAGTGCACGAAAAGTATATTTGTAAAGCGAAACATGACATGTCACATCATAATATATAAAAGCAGTTTTTGGGAAAAATCACATATACATATATATATAAAAACGAAAAGACCCGTTCACAGGTACATGCATGTCGTAACCGTCTAACTATTCTGCTCGCGGTACACCTTAGGCTGGTCTTCTCCTAAATGAGAAATTATTACACTAATCATTAAAGTAATAATAACTAAAGTAATAAACTTAATTTCCCCTAGTTTGCACAAGAACAATATTTTCGTTGAAAATTTCTAAAATAACATAACATAGTCATTCTCAACCATTTTTCGCACAAAAGGTATCAAAATGAAGCTTAGGACGACATGAACATTTTTGTACCTCATTGGGGGAACAAAACTTGGCGGAGGTGACTGGAAATTGGCTTAAAAGCCACTACCATATTCGGGACTTTCTAGATATAGCGGGTTTCGAGCATGCAAACTTAAATCCATGGTCTAGGGGTTTTGGGAAGTCGTCCAACACCTTCAAACTCGATCAACTCGACAAGGTTTGGATGGGTTTAGCTTGGAAAAATCCTTCAACACGCCGAAAAACATGGTGCATAAGGAAAAAGCTAAACGATACGTCCAAAAGCCACATGCTTTTCAAGGAAACGTTTGAACAACTTGAGGAATGCTCAGAAAATGAAGAAATCAAAGCTTACCAAGTCGGAGATGGTTTTCTTCGTCAGGTTCCTTCGAGACACGAAACGAAAACTTCATATTTTTCCTTTAAAACGGTCACAAGATTTTGGATGAGTTGCAGGGCGTCCTTAGTGTTTTGAGAGTTTTTGGGTGGCTTTGGAGGAAGCTTGGATGAGATGGTGATGTTTTGACAATTTTTGGAGGTGGTTATGGTGGTGTTTTGGCGTGTTACTGAGAGGGAGAGCGAAGGAGAGAGAGTCTGAGATGGGTGGGAGATAGTTGAGAATTGTGAGGTTGAGTGAATTGTTAGAGAGAGAGTCGGCTGGAAATGGGGAAAAGAGAGGGTGTGAGGGGTGAAAGAGCTAGAAAGATGTGAGGGAACTGGTCAAATGAAAGAAAATGATGAAGTAGTGTGCGTGATAGAACAAGTGTGGCGTGATAGAACAAGTGTAGGTTTCTAAAACCCAAAATAATTATTTGTTTAATGCAACTTGCATGGCCATCCCTCAGCATTAAGCCTCTTTTAATGTTGTTTCCCCCCCCCCCCCAAGCTGAACCAAGCAGTGATGCACATTGCACGAGATCAGTTTTTAAAATTTGAATTTATCTCAAGTAAATTTACACCGTTTTGAACATAACTTCTTTGTTATAACTCTGAATTGAGTTCGTTTGCAGCCACATGTTCATAAAAATAAGTACTATTCAAAAATGGTAAAATGAGAGTGAAAAAGTGAAAGGAAAATTGAGGTCCACGTGGATGGCCTACATGGCATCTCAGGGGTATTTTGATAATTTCATTACTTCTAAGAATGAAATACTATAAATTTCGAAATGAAATGTCACTTAACATATCATATTTAAAAATTAAAAATTAAATTAATAAACCCCACTTTTCTCCTCCTTTTCCTCTCTCTACATTCCCCACGTTCTCCTACATTTTCTCTTCCTTTTTTTTTATTTGTCCTTTTCTTTTTTTAGTTGTCATCCATATGCTCATTTAGGGTAAGTCGTAGTAAAATAAAAAACAAATTTAGTTGCACATGTGAAGCGTGTGTGCCGATTGCCAGTTTATTTAAAATAACACTAATACCTTTAATTATAAAGAGCCACTAGGAGCTATGGAGCATGATTGTAGTTGATTTTTTTATTTTTACAATGCTTCCTAAATACTAATTAAGAGCTCATTTAGGAAGCCATTGGAGATAAACGACTATTGAAATGTATAACATTAAAATCCAAGATAAATTTAGCAAAAGAAGCTTCCTATCATAGACACAAAATAGTATATAGAATTCAATTCCAGCATATAGTTGAAAACAAATACTGTCAGTTTTGGGTTCCTATTCATTTGTTTAAGTTAGATCCAAAGTGGTTCGATTTATATTAGACTCGTCATCCATAATATTTAAATATAAGACATCTTATTTACAAATTAAATACCATTAGACCGTAATATTACGACAAAACCATCATCAGTGCGGTTTGATTCAAGGAATACGGTCAATGAAGGCGAATATTGGACCTAAATTTGGTATGTGCACAAAGTCCGTTTGATTTGTTTGGGCTTTAGGAACCCGAAGCCCATAACAGTTCAAGCCCAATAGTTTTGTTAATCGTTTGATCTCGGAAATATATATTTTAAGCTAAAGCATTTAACAGTCTTTAAAATATCTCAGAAAGTATCTCAGGCGCCGTCTGAACCTTCCCAACCGGCGCGCCATGGCGGCATCTTCGGTTGCACGATCCGCCACAACCCCACTCCCGCGACACGTCGTATCGAAACCCTCTCACGCCGATCACCTCCCCAAAACGACTTTAAGTTTCGAATCTCGCTCCGGACGCCGTCGTATCGTCCTGGCCCTGGCCTCTGTTCGGTCAGACGACAACACCGGAAAAATCGACGGCGGCGGTCACAGAAATCTGGTTGGAGGTGCTAGCGAATTAAAGAGCGCGTTGGAGGACTTCCCCTATGACGTAGTGTCGAAAGACCTCCGCGCTCTGCCGAGTACCATTTCTGCCCCTCGCGACCTGCCATCGTTGTCCTTGCTCTGTACTTTTGTGGAAATCGGGTGTCATTTTTATATTTCGTTTGTTGCTTGGTTCAGGACCTTTGTCTTCGACCCACCTCTCCAATCCGGTCTCTGATGGCTCCCGCCTTCGCGTTGCGTATCAGGTACTACTATGTAGCTGCAACAAGTATTCAATTCACACTGAAAGTAGCCAACTTTTTTCTTTCCTACCTGAAGGTTAGTTATTTAGAACAACTGATATTCAAATTCTGAAATTGGGTTTGTTATAAAAAGAAAAACAATTAAAGATCGGATGAACACGAACGGATTTTGATATTTATGGATGAGTAAAAGATCATGATTGTATTATATAGTATCACATATATATATATATATATATATATATCTATATATTTATATGTGTGTGTGTGTGTGTATTGTGTATTTTATTTTGATTAAAATTACAAAGTGCACCTGGTGTAAAAGTAGCTGACTTTATATTTATATCAGTAACTTTTATGTTGTTGGTTTTATTAGAAACCAAGCTTTGGTTGAACATTCTTCTTATATCGATAATGTTTTTTTTTCTGATGAGGAGCTGTCTTACCTAAATGTGTATGACATTGTTGTTTAGTAACATTTTTTTTGTTATATAGATAGGTAAAGTTAGATTGGTAGCGGTATCCAATTTGACTTAAAACTTGCTTCTCGTTCATTGGAACAAATATGGACAGGTGAAGTCTCACCTATTGTGTTTCTTAAGTTATTAACTATCTAGATTTGATCTAATTGCTGAGAAATATATCAGTACTTGAGGCTTTTGTTATCTGAACGGTTGATATAGACCACTAGGGTCATCATTAATTTATTGGCCCGAAGTTGAAAGTCTTCAGTTTAGGTTCTCAGTGGATCGTCTTTATGTGTGTATGTATGTGTAATTAATTTGAATAATGCTAATTTTTGGCCTTAGTAATATGAGTTTGGAATTGGTATTAGAATGAAATTCTGACAATTGTTTTGACATAGTTGAATGTTTAAATTTCAGGGGGTTCGTGGAGCATACAGTGAATCAGCTGCGGAGAAAGCGTATCCAAATTGTGAAGCAGTGCCTTGTGAACAATTCGATACTGCTTTTGAGGTGAATACCTACTCATTTTTCATCATCACCATCTTTTTCTTAATTGTTGGATTAAATTGTGCAATTAATTTCAGCAGCATTACATTTATTTATGTTTGCAATATTTGTTGATGAATAAGACGGACTTGGATTATGGAAATAAAATGATCTCCAGGCTCTCAGTTATTTATTATTAAGAGAAACTACATTTGTAAAATTTTATGGATGTGGTTCTCGTAATGCACATATTTCATGAACCTGAAGCCATAGGACCTTGCTAAGTTGGGCTGCAGGCAAAATGGTTTTCTTAAGGGGCATCATTTTGTGAGAAATAATTGTTAACATGATTTTAAAGAATAGTGAAAATTTGCTTATTCTTTTCTTTAAATTACAAGAATTTCCAATTCTGCCGTAAATGTTGGCTAGAAGCCTTAGCTTATTTGAAATATGGGACCATTGTGTATTCAAAATGATTAAGATTTTACATTAATTGTTAAAGTAGGGAAGGAGCTTTGACAACATTATTTCTATGCTCTATATTTCTTCCCTTTTTTGTGTTGTTTTTTACTTGTGCATATTTTGATGGCACAAGGAGTATGGTTAGTAGTTTCGTCTCTGATAGAAAAACTGTTAAACTGTCTATGTATTTTCAGTCTGGAATGTCGAATCTTTTGCTTCTTAATTCTTTTTCAATTCAACTCAATGCAGGCTGTTGAACGCTGGCTTGTGGACAGAGCAGTCTTACCAATTGAGAATTCATTAGGTGGAAGCATCCACAGAAACTACGATCTTTTACTCAGGCACAGCTTGCATATAGTAGGGGAAGTGAAACTTGCTGTTCGGCATTGCTTACTGGCCAACCATGGTGTTGAAATTGAAGACCTGAAAAGGGTTCTTAGCCATCCACAGGTGTATAAAGCATTTCTCCTAGATTCTCTGGCCATCCTGTATTTTATCATGGTTCTCCTCTGTAACTAGTCATATTTCAGGCTCTTGCTCAGTGTGAGAACACGTTAACAAAGTTGGGATTGGTCAGAGAAGCAATGGATGATACTGCTGGTGCAGCAAAGGTAAGTGATAGTTGGACAACTGATTTTCTTCTCAGTAAGTCCTGATGCCAAGTATGCCTCACGAGTCAGGATATGCATGTAGTATTTGCTTTTGGTCGTGACTCCCTGAAGAATGTGGACTTACATATATAAATTGTAACTATCTTGACTTTTTTATTAATCTAGCTGACCATGCATTTTATAAATTGTAGCATGTTGCTTTCCACAAATTGAAAGATACAGGAGCTGTTGCCAGCTCTACTGCTGCAGTCATATATGGTCTGCAAATACTTGCGCAGGATATTCAGGTTTGTCTCGGAGAGCATTTGGTGTTTTCATGACTTATGCCCCACTCTCGTGGTTACTTATTTGAAATGTACAGGATGATTCTGACAATGTTACTCGGTTCCTAATGCTTGCAAGAGAACCAATTATTCCTGGCACAGATAAGCCATTCAAGGTTAAGCCCTTTCATGATTAACAAGTTTTGGCTGTTGTATTGTTTACCTCCTTTTTGTAATTTGATTTTTTTTTTTGTTAATAACATGGTTATTGGATTTTAGACAAGTATAGTCTTCTCCCTAGAGGAAGGTCCTGGGGTCCTTTTCAAGGCACTTGCTGTTTTTGCTTTGCGTCAAATCAATCTTACGAAGGTAGGTCCCGGGGCTTTTCCTTTCCCTGTGCCCTTCCTATAGTTTGTTTTGCTAGTGTAGTGCACCTAACAATTGCTGAATTTGTTTCGTTAACCAGATTGAAAGCCGTCCTTTGCGTATGCAGCCCCTGCGAGCATCTGATGATAGTAATGGTGGATTATCAAAGTAAATACAGTAACCATATCAACTGAATTATATGTCCATGTTAATGAAATACACACTCACACAGAGTCTATGGCATGAATATTATTGACATGCCTCAATTCCCTACCCAATTTGATTTTGGCACCAATACATAACTGTTTTGATCTATTTAAGAGTTGTCCAGTTTCGCCTTTTATATCTTTTCCTGATCATGTCCCATATTTTCTTACAGATACTTTGACTATCTTTTTTATGTGGATTTTGAAGCATCAATGGCTGATCAGAGTGCACAAAATGCCCTTCGGCATCTGAAGGTTTTTGTTTTTGTTTTTCTTATCTTATGTTTAGGGCGGTTTTAGCTTTAGTTGAACAATTTCTTTAAACCACGAAGGAAATAAATCTTACACAATATACATTTCCTTGCAGGAGTTTGCCACATTCTTGCGGGTGCTAGGGAGTTACCCAATGGATACAAGCATGACATGACCGACTGACCTACATTGTGGTAAGAAACTTGTGAATCTATCATACATATTATACACAAAGTTTGAATCCCATCAAGCTTTAGTACTAGTAGCACCACAAAGTCACACAATAAAAGCAAAATCAAAACTGTATAGTCTTCACATTTCGTTTTGATACTTATCATTTCAAAGTGTTACCGGCAATTATAAGAAACTTCCTCCAATTTCAGTGTTTTTCTTCTCGGTGCAAGTGGTACAAATTACAATACATGTTAGTTGAAATTTTGTCACTGCCATCTTTCTTCTTTGTTTTTATATTCCATAGATGTCCAAGTTCAAATAATTGATCGTATGCATCAATGTTTTAAGTCTGTTATTGTAACTATTAAAATCTACGTTGACATAAAAAGTTCGTGTAGATTTTGGAAACGGTAAGAAGTTCCTAATAATTTTCCTAAACCTGGATGTAGCTTGATGTAATTACTCTATATAAATATTTACGACAGAGACTGTCTGTAAAAGAAAGCAGCAAGTACATTTTTTCTTCTTAATAGCGACCGTCTGATGTTCTTTCATTCTGATACTATTTTTTTGCTCTATTGATCGCTGGTGTTGCCGTACAGGGTTTATATTTTCGAAAAGGTTGATTTTCGTTGCGCAGTTTTATCTTCAATTATTGTCAAATTTGATGAAAAATTACCAAATAACAGCACAAAATTTCTAAAGGTTTTACTCGCTGTTATGCGTCCCTGCAAGTACAGAAGTTGGGAAATATCTTGTATTCTCATACATTTTTTTTCTTTTACTTAGTGGAACTACCTTAAGAACTACCTAGGCTTTCTTTTCATTAAATTTAGCATAGAATGTTGCTTGTCTAATTTTCCCGTTCTTGAAAATTCAGTTATCTCCCACCCCAGCATTTTCTTCTCAGTTTTCGTTATGGTGAATGCCGTCGGTACGACTTCTGTAATTTCTACTTCTGACGTCAACAGTTTTATTGAAACGTACGGCGAGCTGAATCCCGATCAAAATCCGTGTGGTAATTTCTACTTGAGTTGCAAGTAAAATGCCCCAATCATAGGGCTTGTTATGAAGTACTTTTAAAATGACAAAACGTTTTTAGTAAAAATGTTTTGGAACTAGTCCTTAATACAAATGCAAGTTACGTGTTTGTTGTGGGAAGCACTTTTGGGAACATAAAAATATTTTCTCTAAAATCTCTTTCGTTCGTTTTAAAATTACTTTCAAACGAGCCCTATGGTGTGCCATATTTTCCATTTTTCATTTCTCACCTTGTATCCTGGTCATTTTCTGGAAGTGATCCAAAGCCAGAGGCGGCCGGAAGTCAGTTCACCTGGGGCCATGGATTCTGCCAATTACCGGAAGATACATCATATGGTGGGTGCGCTGCCACACCGCACAATGAGTCGTGTAGCCAAGAAGCATGGACCCGTTATGTACCTTAAACTGGGTCAGTTAGATGCTATGGTCATTTCATCGGTCACCGCCTCCGGGAGGTGTTGAAAATGCATGAGCTTACATTGACTCAAGGGCCTCTGGTTTTGGCAACAGATGATATGTCCTTTGGGTCAATGGAGTATTTTGCTCTTATGGACATTTCTGGTGGAAGCCGGGAAAGCTTTGTTTTTTTCGAGCTACTGAGATGCGCGGAATCTTGCTGAGTGAGTCCATTGAATCAATAACTCACAAGGGAGTTGCCTTCAATTTAAGTGACAGGTGCCGTAGTGTCAAAAGGCAGCATTTGGGAAGAATGCAAAGACCAAAAGGAGTTCCTTTCGCTACTAGGCGAAACCATCAAACTTGCCGGTAGATTTTACATTGCCGATGTGTTTCCTTCATTCAGATTTCTTGAGTTCGCTACTGGGACGATCCCTGCTAGGGCTGGATCGGTATGGGATCCCGAATCCCAAACCGATCCTTTTTGGGATGAAAATCCGAATCCCGATCCCAAACCAAAATTTCGGTATTCCCGAAATATTTTCGGGATTTCGGTATGGTTTCGGTTTTCAATTCAAAAAAAATTTGGCTTCTTGTTAATGGAAGAAGCTGATAAATTCAATTCAATTCAATTCAAACCTGCAGATCGAGCATGCAAAGCAGAAAAGATTCAAACCTGCATATTGAGCATGCAAAGCAGAAAAGAAATCGAACATGCAAAGGAGAAATTGACCATGGAAATCCAGAAATCCCCAGAAAATTAATCAAGAAATCCAAATCCAAATAAAAACAATCAAAAGCTCTAAATCGTAAATTCCTAATTTATAAATCCTCATTCGAACCCTAATTCAGAGAAAGCTTCAGAGAGGAAAGAGAAAGATATGGGTCGAGCTTTGAAGATTTGAGAGAGCTTTCGGCAGTAGCTCTTTGCTCTCTCTGCTTCTCAACACGAAGAGTGATGCTCTCTACCTCAAGAGTCAAAACCAAACTCAAGAGCTTTCGGCAGTAGCTCCTTCCTCTCTCTTCTCCTCTCTGCTTCTCAACATGAAGAGTGATGTTCTCTGCCCCATCTCTTCTCCTCTCTGCTTCTCAACATGAAGAGTGATGTTCTCTGCCCCATCTCTTCTCCTCTCTGCTTCTCAACATGAAGAGTGATCTGCTTCTCAACATGAAGAGTGATGTTCTCTGCCCCATCTCTTCTCCTCTCTGCTTCTCAACATGAAGAGTGATGTTCTCTGCCCCATGAGTGATGCTCTCTGCCTCAAGTGCTGCTCTCTGCGCCTTCTGTTAGTGGGAGCCAAAAGGCTCCTGCTTTTGAGGTGGGAAGTCTGAACCGAAACCAAAGCCAATTTGTGCCTTTCCCAATTTTTTAATAATATTTTGGTGCCTTCTGTGAGCCAATTTGTGCCTTTCCCAAATTTTTAATAATATTTTGGTGCCTTGCCAAAAGGCTCCTGCTTTTGACTTAGGAAGTGGGAACCGAAAGCTAAAGAAAAAAAACATTTCGGGATTTCGGGAATACCGAAAAAATGGGATTTGTAAACCAATCCCATACCGATTATTTCGGTATTTTTCGGGATGGGATTTCCGATTTTCGGGATAATTTTGGTTTGGAATTTTTCGGTTTGGGTTCGGGATTTTTTCGGTTTGGTTTGGGATTTTTGGGATTTTTTTCCAGCCTCCCTGCTATGAAGGACATACAAGAAAGCTGAAGTGCGACAATTAGTTGAAGGAAAGAAAAGCAAAAAATGGACCACTTGAAATCAGTGATGAAAGAAACTCTGAGGTTCCACTTTTCCAGTCCCTTTGCTCCCACGAGAAGCAAGGTAAACGTGTTGAATCGCCGGATACAAAATACCAGCTAAATCAAGATTGATTTGTTGAGTTTAAGGGCTTCGGCCTAATTTGCATACTCCATGAATCAAAGAAGTATAGGCAATGACGTCGAGAGCAATACCTTTACTCGTCATTTCCGAGGAGAGTTTCAATGCATCCACAACTAGAGTATCTTTACAAAGACCGTCAATGATAGTGCTATAGACAACCACGTTAGGGTTGCAACCTCCTCCTTCCATCTTCTTAAGCAATTGGATAGCTTCAGTGTTGTTACCTTTCTTGCCTAGGCCCTTTACTAATGTCCGAGAGAGAGAGAGAGAGTTACGATGAATAAAACGATACTTCATCCTCTTGAAAAATATACGCAATATACAATACATATACATACAATAGTAAAACTATATAATAATAGATTGAGATTTATGATGTTTTTATACAATCGGAGGTTGATAAAATATCAATTATGTGTTTTAAAAGTAGAGAATCAGGTGGATTCTGTATTGTGACTTTTCATACTTTATTATAGTCGTAAAGAATGATAGAATCCCATAAAAATTTAATCGGATTTATATAATCACATTCTTAACTAAATTAAGACTGTAACATTTTTTAATTAATACTGAAATTTAATATTTTGTCTATTAATTAAAATATTTAAACCAACATGGTTTGAATGTAAAATTTGATCCATACATACAAAGTTTCCCTAAAGAATATATTTAAGTCCACATCGGGGCATGGATGTGATGCGAGTCCTCCCGATTCCATTGGCAGTTGCCAAAAACAAAGCGAAAACCCGGAAATGAAAGTCTCCGAATAACGCACTTCCAAAACGCGCACACTCTCTCAGATAGAGGCAGTTTCAGATCTGAACGAAGAGTTTCGGATCCGGAGGCAAAAGGAAACGGGCCGAGAAAATGGAGAAGTTCATCGACAACTTACCCGCCATGGATCTGATGCGCTCCGAGAAGATGACCTTCGTCCAGCTCATCATCCCCGTCGAGTCCGCCCACCGCGCCATTTCTTACCTCGGCGAACTCGGCCTCCTCCAATTCCGAGACGTAAGTTTTCCGAAACTCAGATCCGACTCGGTCTTTCGTGAATTCGGTTTGATTTGGCATTGTTCAGTAACCGGAAGTTGGGGTTGATTGATTGGCTTAGGATTGATGATGGTTTTTACTTCAGCTTGTACGGAGGTGTGTTCAAAGTAGTTGAGTGGGTAGCGGGAATTAGTAATTGGGGAACTTAATTTTAGAATTTATGATTTATTTAGTTGAATTCATCTGAAAGTCTGATTTTTCGGGGGGAAAGATTGCGGATTTAGATTGATCTTAATCGGAACACACACACATTGTATTTGATCGCTTTTCGTTTACATTTTCTTATGCTGGTAGTACTTTAGATCTCGGTGTGTTGCATGAATTTCACTGAGGGGTTTCCATGGATGCCATTTCTGCTTGATATTAAGAAGAAAAACAACCCCTACATCCCGAGTGGTGATTTTCTGTGTAGGTTGAGAAATGTTCAGTTTTGTGCTAAGTTATTGATTAAGAGACCGTTTCCGTAAGGATAGAAGATCGTTGTGTACGATATACAGCCGCATGTTTTTCTTACTTGGATTAATTTCCTTTTAAGTTTAAGTTTGTGTACTTGTCATTTGTCAATATTAAGTTTCTATACCAGCTTACTCTACTTACAGTTAGATTTGAGGGATTATAATTTTATATCTTTATTCCATTTGAGTTGACCTTTGTCCTTTATGCTTTATCCTATTATTATATAGATCAGGTTAGCTAACTTCATGTGATTGACAAAAGTAGTAAAGTGCTTTTGGGTCTGTGAAACATTGGAACCTTTGTGGCTTTGGCTCAATTGCTATGGGTTTTGTGAATACCACACCTCCTTTGCTATGGGCTCAATTGCTATGGATTCACATTTCCAAGTTGCCAAGTTTTACCGATTTTCGGAATTGATTTTTTTTTACAAGCCTAGATTTCCCAAAGGTTTTATCCTGTCATGTAGATGGTTCCCTGCATATCCACAAGTATTTGTGGAACTAATTTGAATTATAATCTTTTTGTATCTAGGTTTTTCTATATCGATCATGTAATTAGAGTCATTTGGGTCCCCATATATTATGCAATTAATTTTGTGGATAATTTGAACAATTAGCTATACACGTCATAGTTCCAAATGTTATAGGAAAATTGAGGATGTACATGGTTGGTGGTTAATATTTTAGAAGTATATTATGCTC